CCGGTGCAGGTGAAAAGCCATCCATCCACAGAACTCGAAGAACAAAAAGCAGGAATGCAGCAGGGCGGCCACTGGCTTTTGCTAAAACGTCGCTGGGAAACTTGATAAAAGCTGTGAAGAAGGGTTTGGTATTAGAATGGATTTAGTCCAATTACCGAATTTTACGGCAATTTTGCAACCGGTGTACAAGTCCTTTGCAAGTTAAACCGTAAGAACCACCAAGGCGGCACCTAGTTCTCTATTGAACTCAAAATAAAATGCCCCATTATCACAAATTATTGTATTGATTGGTACATTTCGCTTGGGACATGGTTTTGGCGCCAAAATAATTGGCATTGCGCCGCGCGCAATGTGGTGCGGCCCTTGGTCGCCAAAGCACACGATGCCGAAGGCAAAGCCAAAGAAAAACCGGATGAAGCTCGAGGTAATATGCTTTTAATTAGAGGATTTTGTTTTATGTTTAGTTGCTAATGTGAACTATTGCATTGACAATAAAAAGGCTGTGCAAGCCGCACTTGTTCAAGGCGTCACACAAGAGCTTGCTGTATCATTGGTGCGCACCTCACAACGCTGGAACGGTGGGTGAAAGCCGAAGATGACATTAAGAAAGCAGTAAAATCGATCCCGAATAAGACATACATCTCAAGAGTTAAACACGGCGTCAAACTACGTTATCCAGAGGTGGATAAACGGTAAGTAAAGCTCTTTTTTTCGCTTGAATGGTGATAACAATGTGTGCTTATACTAGGCTATTTGAATGGGTTGTTGAAATGCGGAAAAACAAGTCGCGTTGTAAAATATATATTATTTTCTTTTAATGTTAGTACTTCTAATTCATTACTGTTACAGGCGTCACGGCGGGGTGCCTATTAATGATGGCCGCTGTGTTTAAATTGGACTTTCGCTCAAGTAGATCGCGCTTGACAGCAGTGATGTATTTGCACCGGTTTCGCTGCAGGAACCGCCTGTCAATCCGACGAATTACACATCATGGTACCGAAACACGCGATACGATGGAGGTATAAACAAGTATTTAAATTTTCAGTGCCGTATCAATATTTTTATTTATATTGTTGAAAATTGCAGATGTTTTTTTTTTTCGAAAACTATTCAATAATTCATCGAAGAAACGGGCGTGGTCGCACATATCAAGGGGTTGGAAAAGTTGTCTTCCGTTTACTACATTGACCAGATAGCCGTTTATATCGACATGAATCCAAACACGACTATTCATTTTTGCTGGGGCCCGTCACAGCGATATTGTTCAAGGTATTTTAAAAAGTAGAGGGAGGGTGTTGCACGGAGGTGAAATTTATTCCAACTTTTGCAACCGGTGGACGGCTCCGTTTTGCGTGAGTTAAAGCGATATCGTAACTTTATAGACAGCACGTGCACAAAACATGACCTCCACTGGACTCAAGCCTGGGGACTTTGGCGTGAAAACCACGGAGAGATTGTGAACTTACAGGTGCATCAACGAGCAAGTGCGAGTGGGGCAACACGTCGGTGTGGTCACGAGCGCGACTGCTACATTTTACTAGGTTTGCGAAAGCCGTCGCGCTGGCACCAGGTCGCACACCGGGAGTCACTGTCCACACCATGATCCACCACCACATCTACTGCTATTTTGGCGGTACCGGTGTCACCCACGGCTCCACCGTGCAGCAGTAGATGCCGAGTTAGGAGAGATAAGATCGTCGCGCTGGAGCTGAGTTTGCTTTAAGAGAACACGGCGCTCTTGCACGAATCCAATGCCGTGAGCAATAGTAGCACGTCGGGTCACATATCAGCAGT